ATAACATATTTAAGTGTCAAAAATTAATATACAAAAATCAACTTCCTTAATTAAATTTAACAACTATTATAAGAAAAGTGAAAAAGTACTATAAAATGACTAAAAATCATTTTAGTAAATTAATATAAAATATTCAAATGTCAAAAATTAATGTATAAAAGTTAAATTAATTAAATTTGAAATGTATAAAATCCGCGGTCTACTAATTATTACCCACGATCATCTGAATTCTCACCTGTCTGTTGGCTCTGATCCTCTTGTAAGTCTCCCACCTGGCCTGCGGGGTTCCATCCCCGGTCCCCGAGCCCTCTTGGCTATTTCTCGCTGCTCCCCGGTTCCTGGAACCAGCGCCGACCTTGTAAAGTCGGTCCAGCTCTTGCGAGAAGTGCTGGCCGAGCTCCTGCGGGCGCACGGTGACTCCACACGCCGGACAACATGACGGCTCGCTAACGAACTTCTTTTTACCTATACAATAAATCGAATGCAAGAGATCCACGATTTGAAATAGAAAAGGAAGACTGGATGGCAGAAAGGAATGTTTATATGCGAAAAGGAATAAGGTTTCTGATAGGAAAGGCGCGGTCACGCGTGCCGCCTTGCACATCGGCCAAAGGAGACGACTGGCCAAAGAAGAGATTGCAGTTTGCTACCTCCTATTTTCTTTCATTCTTTCGTTCTTCCTTCCTGCCTTCTTTGACTGTTCGAGCAAGGGAAGCCTCGTGTATGTGATACTCACGGTTGAGCGAGCAAAGAAAATATACAAGGAATTTTATTTGGATTGAAATTAGCATTTCAAGGGAAGAACATTTGTGGAAGGGGAACGGTACGGATTAAACCCAATCATGTGGTAGTTAAATGCCCGTTGACTTATAAATCAGTTTTTTTTTTCGAATCTCATGTGTTAAAAATTCTGAAAAAATTTGGAGATGTACTACTAATTGAGAAATGGTTGAGAGAATTGTTCAGATCTTTCTATCCATTGTTTATGTTATGTGTTCAATAAAAATTCATAATGTTTGCAAATTCTGAAGTAATCAGTTTTAATCAGTGGCATACACCTGTATTTTTTTTTTTTTTTAAAGAATCAGAGATTTACTACTATAGCTGTAGTATATGTGAGAATTTGTTTAGATTTCTCTATTGTAAACTGAAAATTAAAAAAATTGTTAAAGGATGGGTTAAATCAGTTCTGCTGTTAACGAGGAAGTTAGGAGAACTGTTAATTGATTGTAAGCGCGCATAATGTAATTGGTTGGGTGCTTAGAGTTTGGGGATTACAGGGAGCTATAAAGTGCGGTCGGGAATAATGATTAGGAAGGTTTAGGAACAGGTGAGAAGACTGTAAGGAAGCTGAGAAGCCTGTGGTTGCAGCTTTCAACAGCCTGGAGTTATTTACGAGGGGGATATATCGAAGGCACCAGCTGAGCCAATTAGCAAAGTCGAATGTAGGGATTACCCTGTTTCTTTGGATATGATTTATGATATGATTAATGTCGAAATTTATTGATCAGAAATTTGTGAAACCATTCAGAGATTAAGATCCGGTGTTCCGTCAGTTTATTGTTAATAACTCGTTAATTATTGACCCTAGCGAAAAATGTTTTAAATAAAAGTTGTAGCTCTAACTGTCGTCGACAAACAAGGTTGTATATAATTTTCTCGTAACTGTAATAGCTTAGGAGTATTTGCCAATGTATGAGACTCCAGCATGTTTTATAAGTGTCTGATAAGTTTCATAGTCATGACGATTACTCCTGAGATATTCAAGAGATGTAGAAGGAAATTGAATACAATCTTATTTGTAGGTATTAATAGTAGTTACAACTTTTGTGTGAAACGTTTCTCGAAATTTTGAGAAAACAGGATTGAAATTCTGTCCAGACTACCTTCAGATTTTCCGAAATTTCGATTTATTGCAAATAATTGCTTATCCGTTGCTGCTAGCGAAAAACATATAAAGCATAAGTGCTACAAAACAGGTCCTGTGTAATTATCCCGGAAATCCAAGCGTTTCTGAGTAAATGAGGAAAAATAAAAAATCTGGCTAAAAGTTTGCTGATGCGACAGGGGCAGAGGCTGGATTTTGTCCGATCTGATTAATTGCAATTAACTAGTTAAATACTGGAGTTAGAGGAAAAGTGCATACAATCTTTTTTTAGAGGGCGAATAAAACATTTCTCGCTAGGATCAATAATTAACTAGTTATTGATAATAAAATGATACACAGTATTAAAATTCTATTACTGGGAAACTAAAACCTCATACTTTTTATGATTTCTCCTAAACTGTTGGAAGTACAAGTACAACTTTGATTTAAAACATTTTTCACTAGGATCAACAATTAACGATTTATTAACGCCAAATCCTTACTCTAAACAATTATCAGAAAGAAACTTACGTCTGTAAGGCCTTCCTTCTTCAATCAAAGGTCTATCAACGTTCTCACTGCCTCCATCTCTTTCCTCGACCTCTTCTTCTTCTTCCAAATCACTTTTCCCATCCCTAGGAGTCACCCTGACCAGCCCATTACCCCCGGACAGTGAGAACATGCTCTCTGACCGATCGCAAAACAAAGTCGATCCGATTTGCGGAAGGTTCGAACGTTTGTAACCTGGCTCGATATATCTGTAGCTCTGGTACAGACTCCCGTGCTCCAACGGATGATGCAGAAATGGCAGTTGCAACATGTGACGCAGACCTTCGCCTAGGAACCACCGCCGGGGCTCCTTATCCTCGCTTCTCAACTGTAACAATCGACGAATAGTAAAACCTCAGTCCATATAAACGAGACCATATAAACACTCAGAATTTAACTCCCTTCTAACTGACATCATTAAGTTTATAGGATGTCAGTTATATAAAAAAGAGCTGGCTGTCTGTTTATAAATAAATAAATAAATAAATAAATAAATAAATAAATAAATGAAATGTAATCCCAAATCTTTTTGTAAAATCTAAACGATTTACGCTGCCAGGAATACTTATTAGGAAACTAACATTCGGGCCTGGCTGTTGTTGCATTCTGAACTGTGGGAATGCTGTCAATGTTGACAGTGGCAGATGACTAGAATCATCCATCTCTCTGTCTCAAACTTTGATTAATAAATAAACAGGTTATAGAGAACTTTTTAATTAATAGACGAATAGCTTTCGTAGTAAACGAAAGCAGAAAGCGCGGGAAATGGTCGATACAGAAATGAACTATCGGAGTTAAAAAATCGACACTTTGAAAATCGAAAATAAACAAACCGAAGATTCGAATACTATTTGCATCGATGAAGTCGCACAGAAAATTAACTGTTAAATAATTTTTAGTTATTCCAAATGTAAAATTGAGGAGAATTTTTATGTTCGTGATCGACGCTTTTTATGTTATATGTTATTGTTTACTGAACGATGAACCGTTGTGCGAGGACGAGGGAGGAGGAGTGTTCGCGCCGGAGGGTGATCGCGGACTGAGTATTTTGGCTGAACGACTTACTGTGGGAACGTGGCCAGCGGTTGCGGCGGCATCGGGGTGACGGTAGGGTGGACGAAGACGAATGCGGAGGCTGAGAGGAGGGTACCGGCCAGACGACGATGGGGCACGAACATCCTACCGACGCCATTACTGACCGCTACTGCGCAAGCCGCAAGCTACTGCACAGTTGCATGTAGTAGTAAACAGTAATGGCGGTGCCCAGCGGTGCCAGTGGCGCCACTTGTACGTACGCTCTATTATTACATGACTGAGGTGTTAATTAACTTTTTTAATATTTCTAGTTCTGAATTAGAGACATGAGGAAATTATCATGTGTTTAAGGAATCGAAAAGTAGGTTTCTGCTTTTCTTCGTAACCTTTCAGCTGTCAGGAGTGGAGATATTAAATATAAATTGTCGGAGGTTACGAAAATTCGATTACTCCAATGTTTACTAAGTTTGTGAATTCTTTAAAATTATTAATCGTTAATGAGAAAATCTAGAAATATTCTAAAATATATAGGATATCTAGGAGTATGTACTAGTACATCTGTGAATTTTTTCAATAATTTCCACTTGTTAGAAATGAAGAAAAAAATATAATAGAAATTGTACAAATATATGCACCGAGAAGGTGGTATATGTATGAAGTTGAAAGTTCGAAAATTTTTTTCTAATCTTAATCGTGAATGAAAAGCTCTGGGACAATTCTATAATATACAGTATACGTACTAGTATATGTATGAATTTTTTTGTAAGATCTCATCTGCCAAGTAATGCAGTTTGGAACAGGGTGCGCATAATTTTTCCCTCACGGCTTACTTCCCCTCTTTTTCGCCCGTATTTCGAGCCCCACTACTATTCCCCTCATGCGCTTTCGCTGACCATGCCTAGCATACCCCCATGAAGTACCAGACCCCACCATGGTCGCGTCGTCTCCACTTTCCGGCCGAGGGAAAAATTATGCGATGCCTGGTTTGGAACTGACGACAGTTTTGCTTCGTGTTTCTCACCATTTCTCACTTAGGCTCGAATTTATAGTCGATTCTCGCACTTGGCACTCAGCACTCAAGTGCGTCCAACCGTTCCGCATTCAATGTACACATTTATATTATGTTCAGATTCTAAAAGTTTTATACTTCATGTTTGAAAAAGAAGCGGAAAAGGAGAAAAACTATTGCGCAGCTATTCCGCTACTCTCACTTCTTTTTAAACATACCAATGTGTACATTGGTGGGACGCACTTGAGTGCTGAGTGTCAAGTGCGAGAAGCGACTATAAATTCGATCCTTATTCTCGGCGCAGTAAGTATAGTCTAGAGGGCGCCAAAAATTGCGAACTTTCTTCGGCCGCGAGGTCCCATAAGGTTGCCATTCTTTACTAATATCTACTCGGTGGTAAAAGATTCAAATAGAAATTAATTTCTCCCACGACAACAGACGATCGACAAACTTAATGATAGTGAATTAACGGATTCGTTGAAATTCCATTAAAATACTTTCTAAAGGAAGAAATTTTAACATCGAGATTCCAAAATTACGCGGCTGACCGCTGCTTTCACTATTTATGATAAAAATCCATTGAGAATCAACGATTCTCCTATTCTTAAATGTAGTGAAATGTTTTTAATATAAGTGACCAAATGAAAAAATTCCAGGAATTTTACATTATCCAGGAGACATCTGTGAATTTTTTCAATAGATTTCAGTTATTGTAATCGGAGATATTATAATAATGATGAAAATTGCAAATAGATACATGCTGATATGGACGAATTCATAATTTCGCTAATTCTTTTTGAATGGAAGCTGCACTCTAAAAATCTGAAAAGATTCTATAATGTACAGCATAGCCAATAGTATATCTTTGAATATTTTCGAAATTCTGACTACATCAAAACTGGAGAAAAAAAATAGGAATTACATAAAAATTCATTACTTATGAATGTATTATATTTATCTTGTATACAAACGCGTAGAGAATTAAGGCTCTGAGGGGGTGGGGTTGAGGCTATATATAGGGGTACACTGTCAGCCTGGGGTATCAGTCGGTTCCCAGTTCTGGCCGCACCTGCTCAGGTAAGCTTCTTTCTTTCTTAATAATCCCTCGACCAATGAAAATTTCTTTTTCTAATCCAAGTTTCCTTTATTAATCGAATATATGTCGGTATAATGCTAATTCTTAATTGGAAATAAGGATTACAATCCAAATCGGTCAATTTTAAATGCAATAATAATAATTTTTCTTTCTTTTTTAACAGGATCCAATAATTATAAAAATGTTGCGGCTGATTGTGGCTATATCTGCGATGCTGATGTTATCAGCGGGTCAGTTTCAACCCTCTGGAAGAGTTCTAGATCCGCCGGTACCAGCCCTTTGCGCCCAGAGTAAGAATCTTATTTTTTATTTAAAACTCTTACGACTAGTAGCAAATGATTTTTTCTCCGGTCTTAGCGTGTTGAAAATTCTATAAAAATTCATACATATACTGTATATTATAGAATTCTTTCAAATTATTTTCCTGCGAACTTTACTATAAAATAATTGTCGACCTTCAAGTTAGTCTACATCGCGGTATAACTGTTTGCGATTCATAAATGATTTTTTTTCTGCGGTTGTAGCGTTTTGAAAGTTCTGAAAAAAATATGAATGTACTACTGGACATATTGTACATCAGAGAATTTTTTCAGATTGTTAGAGTGACGGCTTTCATTTGAAAAAATTGCCAAATTTGTAACTCCGTTTATATCGTATATCAATTTGCAATTTCTATTATAATTAATATCTTAAATTCTAATGACTAGAATCTACTGAAAAATTCAGGCGTACGGTAGTTAAAACACTGGATATTGTAGAATCTTCTTAGATTTTTATGTTGACGATCTCCAGTTAAAAAGAAATAATAACATCGATCGAGTGACGTGAAACTAATGGAACGTTAAAATGATAATTAGAAAACTTTCTTCTCATAATTCGAGGCATTGTCCATTGGGTTCACGTAAAAGAGAACGCGTTCCCGATTTCCTCGTCGCGATGCTTTCGTCGTCGGGATTCCTGAGAAAGTAGGGGCCCCGGGATTAACATATACAAACGGTCGCGCCGAATGTATGTGCTCATTTCCATGCGTATGGACATAACAGTAACCCAGCCGTGACTCAAATATTTATCTCGGATAGAATTTGGAAAAGGGTGTCAAACGATATGACTTTCTCTTTAAAAGGAAAACGATTTCCCCCCACGCCCATCGACCACGTTTAGTTTAATGGACAGTTACGCCTTCCGGTTCGATTTACCGCTTACTTCACCCAGTTAGAATGTTTTTCTCCGATCGTAGCGTATGAAATTTACTGACAAACATTCAAAGATATAGTACTGGATGCGCTGTACATTATAGAATTTTTTTAAAGCTTCAGAGTGAGGATTCCTACTTTAAAAAAGATTGCTTAACTTTTAATCTTGCCTATGTCAGTATATAGTCAATTTGCAATTTCTATTTTAAGGATGTATTGGCTATACAGTCAATCCCAAAAGTTTATGCACATTAGAAACGCATTTTTTAAAAAGAAATCATTTAAGAAGAACAATGCTAATAATAAACAACAAAAAATTTTTCAATTTTTTCGAGATTGTTCAAGGGGTACCCCTTCAGATTTGACAAAATTTTCGTTTTTTGCCAATAACACCTAAACCGTTGGACTTACGGGAAAATTGTACACGATCTCTCTTGTAGAGGACGACGAGATCTACAATTTCAGTATAAAGGTTTTTCGCTAGCGCCAATAGTTAACGAGTAATTTGCAAAAAACTGTTTTTTCGTTTTTCGTCAATAACTCGTTAAATATTAATGCTAGCGAAAAACTTTTATATAGAGATTGTAAATATCGTCGTCCTCTACAAGAAAGGTCATATACAATTTTCCTGTACATCCAACGGTTTAGGAGTAATTAAGGAAAAATGAAATTTTTTGCCAAAAGTTCACCATTTCGACGCTGGGATGGTCGGATTTTGTCAAAATCAATAAAATGCCAAATAATCATACGTAACTCGTTAAATATCGAAGTTAGAAGGAAAACAACTTTTATTTAAAGCATTTCTCGAAATTTTGAAAAAAAAAAAAATTTTCGTCAGCGTCAATACTTAATTGGATATTTCCTTCTATACTTTTTAGCACGTAGCTATTTATTATTAGCATTATTCTTCCGACGTCTGATTTCTTTTTAATTATAGGAAATGCGTTTTTCTAAGGCACATAAACTTTTGGGATTGACTGTATAGCCAATACATCCTTAATTGATATCTCCAATTGTAATGAGTAGAATTTATTGAAAAAGTTCACGGGCATACTACTTGCTATCCTGTACATCATAGAATTTTTCCAAATCGATCTCTTTAGGATCTCTGTTATAAATAAAAAATAATTTCACTAACGTTCACATACATATTCCGTATTAATTTGTCGTTTTCCAGGAGTGATTCACGAGCGTTTCAATGGTAAAGGATACTACTATTCATGGGCAGACCCGAGAACCAGCGGCCAGGAAGTCGACTGGTTGTCCGGCAGGAACTTCTGCAGGCAAAGGTGCATGGACCTCGTGTCGTTGGAAACCTCGGCCGAGAACGAGTTCATCAAAAGTCGCATCGTTCAAAGTAATCCATCGTTTCCACTTTATTAACAACGTTTACGAATCCGAAGTCGATTCAAAGAGATCGCTTGTACGACTGTTCATAGACAACGTGAAGTACATTTGGACTTCCGGCCGCCTATGCGACTTCAAAGGATGCGACAGGCCTGACCTGCAGCCGTTGCACATAAACGGTTGGTTCTGGACCGCGGAGCTACAAAAGTTGGCCCCTACCACCGACAGGTCCCAGAACGACTGGTCTGAGAGCGGCGGGTATTGAATATTTCTCATATTCTCTAGTTAATAGGGAGTTTTCTAGTCATCATTGGGTCAATTCTCGCGGCTAGTGTGTTTGGGTAATTTCTGACCCAGGGGTTCAATCTTCAAATCGGAATATCATCGACCGGTTCTAATTTTTATTCGGGCCTTTCTTAGGTTTATTTTTTATATTCAGTGATTTTCAAGACTATTCTTTTACTCCGGGCGATCCATTTTTGCCTCAGTTTTGATTCTGGAACTATTTCGGGCCCATTTGTTATCCCAGGCCCTATGGGGCACCATGTTAAAACTATCTTTCGTAATCATTTAAAAAAAATTCCGCAATGCACCCGAAACTGTATAACCGCAATTTGTTTTCGGACCACTCTTTACGGTAGGATCGCCGAATCAAAATCTGTCCCGCGAGATTTACATTAAATTAATTATTATTTGAATCGGTAGCATCGGCAAGCCGCAGCCGGACAACAGGGAGGCCGTTCAACAAGGCGGCGCCCCCGAAAACTGCTTGGCCGTGTTGAACCAATTTTACAACGACGGGGTCAACTGGCACGACGTCGCCTGTCACCACAAGAAGCCGTGGGTCTGCGAGGAGAACGAATCTCTCCTTAGATACGTGCGATTCACGAATCCGAACGTACGCGTCTAATCAACTTTTGACCCTTCAATCTTTCAGTGCTGAAATCGACGTTCTTTATTCTCGATTTTTTCGTTTTTCTCAATTACTCCTAAACTACTAAACTACGAGAGCTAGAGGAAAATTTTAAAGGAAATCATTTGTAAGCGACAGTTACAGCTACAACTTCTGTTTGGAAGTCTTTTTCCTGGAATCAATAATTAATGAATTATCGAGGAGAAACGGTAATTTAGAATGATAATTTTAGATCAATGATGATACGTTAATTTAGCACTGAGGATTAATTAGAACGGGCGATTCGTTGATTTATTTACAAATAGATGTACAATTATTATAAGTAAATTATTTCACCTATGTAAGATGATTGTTCAGGCGATCGAATATTTAAATATACAATACAATATTTAAACTGTCCACAAACTTTATTTCTTTCCTTCGACCATGATCACGTGGTAGCCGAATTTCGTCTTCACTGGAGGGTCCGTGTAGATCGGCGAGCCAAGTGTTGAGATAGGGAGGGCGAATGCTGCTTCTTGAAAGGGACCCACCATCGAGCCTCTCGTCATCCACCCCAGGTCACCCTTCGATGAACGATCGACATAGAATTTAGTAAAATTGAAATAGGAGAACAAGAATTTTGTTATTTGTCATTTATTATGCGGGTCAACAGGAATCTCTTTTTGTGCATAAGAATATAAATATGAACGAGCAATAGAATTAAAGTAATAGATTTTACAGAACAAATATAATTAATGAAGCTATATTGAATGAAGTGACGGATCACGTACCCCGGACCTAGCCTTGTCTTCGCTGTAGGCAGCGGCCACTTCGTTGAACTTCCCCCCAGCTTTCAATTTCTCTAGGGCTTCAAGGATCTTCGATTGCTTCTCGCAAAGTATGTGCCTCACCTGCGACAAGTCGGATTCTTGTCGTTTTATACAGTTCAAAATTAATATCATTCTGAGGGACGTACTTTCACGGAACTGCCTCCTTTCTTTTCTTGTTTTGCTGCCTCATCCGTAGATTTCGACTTATTTTGATTAGCTTTCGATGCTTGCCCACCTTTCTTAGGAGCCATGTTTCAGGCTCTGAATTCAGTCCTTAAATAATACTAATAATTTCGTTAATAATGAACGGATTCATTTAGTTCACGGCTTAAATTAAAGATTGGAGTCTCCTCTAGCAAACTTCGATGGATTGATTCCTAAGGCTTGACAGTCCACTTTGAACGAAGCCTCATTCAATTCTAAAAATCCTATCCTAATGAAAGACGTTGATTAACTTCAGTTGGTCATAACTTCGTTAATAAAGAACTGATTCACTTCGTTCGCGGCTTAAATTAAAGTTTGAACCCTCTACTTTAATTCAGTTTCAATGACAATTTTATCTAAATTTATTCGTAACACGAAAATCACCTTCACATTAAGGCACATGAAATCGAATACTCCAAATGGTAGCACGGACGATTGATCAATTAACTAAAACTTGCAGATCTCCAGATACAACGGCTTATTAATTTAATTTAAAATAAAACAATTTTTGTTTAAAATGAACCGCTCAGCAAGATCTATACGTGTCACGTTCGCACATCGCACCTAACCTTAAACATCGCTTTGTAAACACTTTGATATATCGATGTTCATTCCGTTTTATTATGGTTTTTAATTAATCTCAGCCGAAGTTGAAAAGGCGGAAGCCCTAATCAGCTTGAGATTATATTCGAATCCGTTCATTATTAAAGATAATTTACCTTTTCGTACGACGTGTACGTGTAAAGGCCTGTTCCCATTACCGTAGCCGTAGTGAGAATACTACGTGGAAGGGGGTGAAATTTTTGACTCGAGAGATGCCCCGGCGGAGCCTACAGTACCGTAGGAGAAAATTGAAAGTATAGGGAAACCCATGTAAAAGCACGGGGGCTTCAGAAGGGCCCGCCGGCTTGTTCTGCAGACTAGCGCGAAAATCCGGGTAGACCACCCGCTGAGTACCTGCTAGACCTTTTTTTTATGGCCGGACCCGTATTTTCTGGTCAATCCGGCGACGTTTTCGAAACATCGTGAGCCACGATGTTTTTCCACCAGAACCACCGTATTCAATATCTCAGATGTTTAACAATTTTATTTAATAAGCATATGTTACATATATGTATACTACACATTTATTCAATGAACAGTTGTAGCGTTGAGAGAAAATATAAGTAGAAATTAATACATGGGCGGGAACAAGTGTGATATCTCTTGAAACCGAGATCATTCGTCAATTGCTCCAAATATTTATAATACCGCCCTTCAATAGACATTGGTCCTTCCGAAGGAGTTTCGCGCTCTCTCTCTCTCTCTCTCTCTTGTTTACTTTTTCGGCACAGCTACCTGACCGA